ATTAGTTTTCCCCTTTGTTTTTTGATGTTTTGTGTGCCGTCTTGCCTTCATTCGTGTTTTTTTTTGGCTTTGACTTCCTTTTTGTCCTAATCACTATTTTTCAGTTGACCTGAAAGAGTAGCGCTGTGCACTTGCATCTGAACGGGCGCCAGCCCCAGGTGAGCCCATCAGTGAGACGGAGACTATTTGATCCAAAAGGAAGAAGCTCTAAGCAAAAAAATACAAGAACGAAATCAAGACAGCACAAAAAAATGCAAAGGATGCATCACAATTGTGATTATCGATCGGAAGCTCACCGATTGCACGCCAAGTACGCGTCATGCGCCAGTGCGCGTGTTGACGCTCTTCACTCTCTCCGCACCGTCCGCACAGACCGCATCGACCGCACTGGCGCAAAGTATGAAAGCAGCCTAAGGGTGACTGCACGGCAGCACATAAGGCAATGTCTCACCGATGTTGAATCGCGGAAGTGTCACGCCTCTGCGCTTGAGGCCCCCTATTTCTCACTTTAGAGGGGCCTACATCCTGACACCCCATCCGTGGTTTCAAAGCCCTACTTCAAGCCCTTGAGTGATACCATCCTAAGACCATTGTGAAATCGCACACTGATTTTTTCATATGGTACCTGGCTCCTCTAAGCATCTCTTGCCCTGATAAACCCACCAGAGCACCACTCCCTTACTTCGGGGACTTTCGGCACTTCCTAGGCCTCAAGTTCCCTCGTTGCCATTCTATTCAACATAACTTTATTAGTACAGGAAGCAAGAGTACCAGTAATGCTGTTCTCTGGAACGACAAGCATTTCACATATAAATAAAGCAGAAATGCAGTAAAGTATTATAATTGCGGAGTACATGAGATAATCTCAACAGATCTAATGCAAAGTAAAATGGAAACCCGATTCATGAGAGCAACGGAACTTTTTCAAACATGAAACAGCAACATTGGCACAGTACAAGCGTAGAGAGACAGAGAAAAGCTGTGTTCAAATTATTCGAATGATTTCTAAACAAGTTTGGCTTCCGTAAGACACCGCTAGAGCATGGGTGCAAAGGTTAGCCTAAGGCTGAAATTTTGTATTACTTCGGACCTTAGCGATTGCTAAATCTCACACTTGTTGACAAATCTGGAGTATTTCGGAGGAAGAAGAAGTGTCCCTCCGCCTTGGAGCATGATCTCCTGATCGAATCCAAGCTGAGCTGGACAATATGAGCTTTTTCTAATTCATTTCACTAGTATAGATCCCTGGCTGGCGCCTTCGTGCCCTGCTTCCAGCGGCCGTTTTTTCTACGCATTTCACTAATTTCCGAAACCTTCCTGTTGTACAGCTGCCATCAGTCTCTTTGAACAACTCCCCTCAGCTCATCTTCTTTGGATATATCTGTCTTAAAAGACGTAGCGCTATATTAAACTCAGCAACTGCACTGCCAGCCACACGTAGAGTGAATGGGAATGTGCCCAATAGGGCAAAGAAAAGCAGCCAATTACCTTCGCCAACCATCCGCTTTCGTTTCAAGCTTAGTTTGAAGTGATGTAATGCAAAAATTCCTTCAATTTCATCTATAGGAAGGAAACCTCTGAGGCTCCTCCGAAAATCCCTGAACCTCGACCGAGTCCTGCTCTTCCGATCCTTTCCGAATGCGTTGGCGCTCACCTCTTTTCCCGTTTGATGGCCTACCCTCGGGGTAGCTTGGCCTAAATCACGGCAGAAGACTGTTCTCACCTCAGCCTCACTCCCTAGCGTCTCACGTGTCATATCTGACCATGAGATTGACTTGTGACTTCTTGATTCAAGAGTGGGTAGACGACAAATCAAGAAACCGAATTACCGCTCAGATTAACCGACATAATTAAGTAGTAATTGGTTGCTTAGTGATTAGTTGCCAATAAGTGAGTGGATGAAATCATTCTATCTCGAAACAATCAGTTTTCTAAAAGCTGCTCGGAAATCCCTCGAGAAAGCCGCGTAGAGTAGCGGATTAACTGCTGAGTTGGAATAGCCGAGCCAGAACGCAACCACATACATCGTGTTGGTGATGCAATCAGGCATTAGACAAAGTGAATATGCCTAAAAGCTTCTATTTATGCTGAAATAAAAACGTTTGAAGCTTTTTACAACCTGAGCAGTAGATGGTGCTGAAGGGAACGCGGATCACACACTCACCACCCTCAGCTGTTAGTGCCGAGCTACTGTAGTTCAGTTATCAGCGAGATCGGGCGTGAACGATCCTGAAATTTGCTTTATAGAAATGAAGTCATTCTGCCTCTTAGGAGGCCCCCCCGCTGGATGTGAAAGACTGGGATGTTTCAGGCAGGAGACGACGATAAGAGGTCGTGCCATCAGAGAAAGTATAATCATAACACAATTGCACCAGTAGGGAGCGGCGGCGGAAAGGAAATTGATGTAAGGCATTCTTGCGGAGGAAGGTGCACTAGTTGAAATTCAGTCAGGCTCCAAACCGGAACCGAACCGCCATCTCATGACCGGCCCGCCCCAGGCGTGATTTCCGAAACTTATGACATTGTCATCATTTGGTACTCATTTTGAAATTGCATTTTACAAAATGACTTTAGTCAAGAACTGAACGTCTCTTATATTTGGACTCGTATCGTTCATCAAATGATTTAGTCAAGAACTGAATCGTCTCTTTATTTTGAAAAAGCACTTGACTTTCAAGTGGCCTCTATCTATCGAGACCGGTCGAGGGCTCGTTAAAGGCATAGTAAGCCATAAAGACGCCGCCATCTCATGACCGGCCCGCCCCAGGCGTGATTTCCGAAACTTATGACATTGTCATCATTTGGTACTCATTTTGAAATTGCATTTTACATCAAATGACTTTAGTCAAGAACTGAACGTCTCTTATATTTTAAAAGGCACTTGACTTTCAAGTGGCCATCATCTAATCCGAGACCGGTCGAGTCATCGGTAAAGGAATAGGTAAAGCATGAGTTCCGGCACTCGAGTTTTGTCAGTTTTTCTCGGGTTCCTCTTCACTGTCTCACTACTCGGCACCTCTGCTTCATAGGTGATCGAAAGACCGTAATTGTTGCTTTCAGAAAAAAAAAATAAAGGTTTTGTAGTGAAGAGCTGCATCTCTTTTGCAAATGCGAAGAATATGATGTACCACTTGTGTCGGGAAACAATTGGTGTCCGCAGTGCAGACGTAACCATAGGCGGAGAAAAAAGAAACAGCACCGAAATCGCTTGCGCCCGCGACACGATTGTTTTGAGTTTTTGTTTAGGAGTTACCGATTCTCTGCGCATCAGAAGTAACATAAAAGTGGTAACGAGTGGGAAAAACCAATTTCACGTGTGGTTTCTGATGTTACTGATCAGTTCATGCCCCTTCTAGAGTGCTACCATTCTGGCGGACACAAACACTCGATTTTCTATGACTTACAGGGTTCATATAACTATAAACTATACCATACCACCTATAAATTTTACGATCATCAAGCACTTACCCGCCAAGGTGTGTGATCACATTGAGACGTTTCTTCTTGCTTGTACTAATTAAGGAGACCACCATGACATGCGAGAGGAGGTTCTTCAGAATGGGGCTCACACTTTTTGGCTCTTCATTGTGACCGATGGCAGTCACTGGTTGTGCTGAAAAAAGAACATTGCAAGTTTACTTTTTTTCAAAATGCCCTAGTCTTAGCAGAAGCACTGGGTAGAAGGAGAATGAATAGGCTTGGTCGATAGAAGAAGAAAAAGCAGAGGTTTACACAGCGTTTATAAACCGATCCTTACTCAAAGGCTACGTTTTGCATAGTGGTGACTTCATAGCACTTAAGAAAGATCAGTCACCACTCGAAAACGTGGTTCGTGTTCAAAAAAGTGATGAAGGGCTGAAGTGGTCTCTGGCTTGTTTATTAACAGTTTTTATGGAAACATCCGTGCGCGACAGTGGTGTTAGGGAATTACAAATTGAGTTAATGGCGGCTAATGAGCGCTAATGGACGAGATACCCCATGACGACAAGCAGCGTGGATTGCGACGTAGCGGCTAATTCAAATACGCACGAGTGAGTGGGCCATGGAGCAAGCAAGTTCAGAACGATCTTCCCTCATGTCGAGAGCGAAGAAAGGAGTCCTTGGTAAACGGCTTCGTTTACTTATCTTTTTTTCGACCAACTTGACAGCCATGTTTTCATTATCGAGTGCTCCCGCGACGGAAGATGCGCTATTAGCAGTGCCGTAGGCACCTTAACAACCCCACAGACATGCGCAACGCCGGCATGTGGAAAGGATGGTGACGGTGACAACTTGACATAAACGTTATCGCCGCCGTTTGATTTCCCTTTCTAAGTGTTTCTTGTGTCAGCCTCCAATCAGGAGTTACCTGTTCGTAGTTGACCATGCCAGTGTTCAGTTTCGCCCGGATGATCTCTGCGTTAGCGATGACTGGCCCTCAAAGACAGGGATTACGATGGGTTCTAGAGGGGTTTGAAGAGGATGTGGGGGAGGTGCTAAGCGATACGCCAAAGGCGAAAAAGCAGGGAAATTTGTCAAGAAAACGCAAAACGGGACCTCCTTTGGCCGTTGTTTTCGCTCATGAACGGGCAGCAGCTAAGAAGCGGACGTATGGACGAGTTCACCGCAACGCGTTTGGTGGCACCATGCCAATCCATGCTCCAGTCGAGTTGCTCCAGTTGTGCCGCTGCTGGCAACACAGCTCGTCCAAATCACCAACCAAACTAGTGGGCGGAACGCTTTCCGAGTATACACTGCGCAGCAACCAGCGCACCTTCCATCGTGAAAGCACCACATCTCGCTTTCTTGGTAGCCAAGTTACTCGCGCGACACATACGCCCCGACGCGCTTCCTCTATGTCGGAACAACTTTCTCAAAACATTCGGCGAGAAAGGGCCTTGTTGCCCAGGTTTTTGACTTTTCTCCTAGTTTTTTTTTCAGCGACGCACTAATTAGCACCCCTTTCATTTTTCATGGATATCACCCTATTGCATTTGCTGCGTCCAAAAAAAAAGGCTGTAGCAGGGAAGTGATCAAATACATCTTTTGGTAAACGTGATGATAATCGGAGACTGTGAAACTCAGCTAACCTTTCACTGCAGCACGTTCTATCATTGGTGACATTTCATCATATGCCTTGGCATCACGTCCAGCCGAGTCACACGAATACTGCTTTATTAACTGAAAAAAAATATATGAGAACAAAAAAAAACTTTGAACGCATTATTAAAAGCGCAATTGGTTATTAGAGAGATCACCACGCGATGTAAACTATAACTATGTATGTACCAATGGCAACAACCATGATTATGACGGTTTTCAATTGAAAGGGTGAAGTTGGGCAGGGTTCAGCGTGGTTCGGTTCTCTCACCAACCACTGCAGTGATTCCCTGCCAAATCTTTTTTACGCACTCAGATGGTCAGATACTGGCACTTTAAACGAGTAATCTAGCTAGCCCAATCACATCCTGTTTAAAGCGGTTACCACAAGTGAGAGTTCTTGGCAAAACACGCAGCCGAAGCGGGAGTTGAACCCAGGGCGTTTGTTCTACTTTCCAAGGCTATGTCACCGAACTCAGTTTAATGAGACCAATAGGATAACTACCGTAATTTATTAGCATCCGCGAAGAAATGGCTGCAGTGATTACAAACGCGCACTCACCTTGTTGGCGAGAGATTTGCGTTTTCCTCGGTGTATCCGCATTGACTCCCCATTTTTTACTGACACACATTTCGTTCTGGTCGTTGTGAGTACAGTGCAGAAAATCGAAACGTTAAGTGCGATCTGAAATTGAATTTAGTAGGGAACTCTGTACAAAAATGAGAGACAAAAAGATAGCTTGGCGCTGATCGACCTGGGATGTACAACGCATTCTATCATCGTTCCATTAAGAATCGCAGTACACTTTGGATACGCCTTGGCCTAGTAATAAGATCTGCGGGTGCCAGCCTATGTCCAAGTAGAGGTTTTGCTCCGCCTAGACAAGTATGGCACCAATTAATCGTTCTCGAAGTATGGAAAACTTGGATGGCCTAAACTGCTTATCATCGAGGATCTGATCCTCTTACCGTGAGCGTGGTAAGAAGCGCCACTTGCTGTAACATAATTGCGGCCCATTGTGGGAAAATAGGCATTTTGAATGGCCACTTCGACCTACCATCCTTCCCTTGTGAGAAAACACAGTGAGCCCCAGCTGATCGAAAACTGCTCAAGACCGGGTATTAACAGGACCATACAGCACAGCTTTGGAACAGCTTCCACACCTTAGACTAGATCCCAAACAACTAAATAGTGGGGACTTTGAGTGGCCTGAAGGTCATAAGTTTAGGACCTATTGCCAATGCCTTAATGCCAAGGCAGTCACGGTATACCCTATGATCCTGATCTTGTAATCTTGTGAGCGGCTCATTTGTGTCACATGGCAAAAGGATTCCACATAGCTTCGTATTGGAAAAAGGCACTATACTGGCACTCTTCACACATGTGGAAACAGTTCCTTCATCCCATCTGAACAGAAAAACTCTCCAGAAGGAAGCGAACTGTCTCACATGCTGGTTTCATAGCGAACTGACCATAATCGCGGCCGGAACGATGAAGGAGGCCGATGCTGAGAAGATGATGTAGAGACTTGGCAGCTTCATTGGAGTGCATTCCTGCTTCTGCGAGTTGTCGAGCGTCTCTAACACGAATAGGCACAACGCCAGCAGCCCGGAAAATAACCACACAAGAGTTACCAGTAGACGTGTGACCCTGAAACAGCAGTACATGAGGAGGAATAAACATCATTTGAAGACCTTCGACCCCATTTTTGGGCGGCCACGCACTCCTCCTTTTAAAAACTCTGGCGAAGTTATATTTTAACATTGGCCTTTGCAATGACCTGCCAAACAGGTTTGGTAGCAGTTAGCTGACTACTAAGGAAGCGCCGTAGGATGAGATAAAGACTGCTTGAAATGTTGACATACATCTTTGGGACGCAAACGACCCACCACCTCCAGGGAAGACGTTGTACTTTCCAAGAAGACTGTGCGGGTGACTCAGGTTATTCGATAGGGTCAAGAGTAATAGTCACAAATGTGTCGATCAAACCTGCTTCGTGATCTCTCCATCCAAGTTGCAAGCAGTCGTTGGCAAGAAGCACAGATAAAACTAGGTTCAGGTGCCAAATTGGCTCCATATAGCCTCTGTGCCAAAAACAAATGTCATATTCGTATCAGGTCGCCTCGTGGCTCCTTTAGGCAGACCTTCAAGAGAATGCTGACACTTTACTCCCGAACTTGACCTGCTAACAATTGCTTGAAGGTGCGACACAGGTTTGCTCCCACATTCGTAACCGGCACTCTTGACTGTGTTAGCTTGCTCAGATCTCCCTAACTGAATTCCATGGCGAGTTGAAAGCTTTCTCTGGTCGCCTCTGTCGCCGCGGGGCTCTTGAGGATCAGATACCATCAAATCAATAACTATCAGAAATGATGAGAGGGAAAATCTCAATAAGAACTCAATCACTCGGAAAACGCCCCAAGTTCTCGTCAGTGTTGCTTTGCTGCTTTTTTAATAAATTTAATGAATAAAAAGTAATATGATAAATAGCAATATATAATAATCAGGTGGTGCTGCACGCATTGCACGCACAGCACAGCCCTGCGGCTATATGGTACGG